GGAAGGGAAGGGAAGGGAAGGGAAGGGAAGGGAAGGGAAGGGAAGGGAAAGGAAAGGAAAGGAAAGGAAAGGAAAAAAAGAAAGTCAGCTCTTTCTGAAAAGACTTCTCTCTTTTTCTCTCCTCCTCTGCTCTGTTCCGGCTCTGAATCTCATCTGAGCCCCAGGAAGAATCTACAATCTTCAAAAAACACAGAGATTGATGCCCTCGTTGGGGCTCGCAGATGCCCGGGTCAAAGCCCCCGGGGTTGCACTGTGGATTTTTATCCAGGTTTGCTCAGCGAGATTAAAAACAAACAAACAACCATAAAACAAAAAAACCTCCAGTGAGCTTCAGCCAAAGCTGACTTGAGCAATTCATCAATATTCGATGAATTTGATCTGCATAGAAAAGCTCATTTAGAGTAAAGGGGAAACCCCAGCCCGGACCCCCACTCCTTTAGCTCAGCGTTTGTTTCCACAACTACTCCAATTATCCGGATAATTAATGATTTCATTTTGTCTGTTTAGACCGCCGATAACCCAGAATGTTGGAGATTTAGAACTTGAGCAGCAGCTTGGGATCCGGACGTCTCGGATGAGATAACTAAGGGCCTGCCTGTTCCTGTTCCTGATCCTGACAATGACCCTGTCCTTGTCTTCTACCCACAGCTGTTTCTCTTTCTCTCTCCCCCTCGTTTGCTTGCTCTCGATCTCTCCATATTTCTCCCCTATTCTCATCCCAGTTTCTGTCCTTGACCTTCACTCTCTTCTCTTTTGTCTCTATCTCGCTCCATGTCTCTGTCTTCCCCTTTCCTTTACCAATCCCTGGACTCGTCCACGTTCCTTATCTCTATTCCCAACTATTGCATTTTCCCACCCACTTCGTAACCAAGGCCGCTGGGTCCTTCCCACACTCCCGGATGCTGCCACCCGACTCGCTCTATCCGGGATTTGATCATCTCAGGTTTCTGATATTGAATCAGTAACGAAATTCCGGACGGGGGCGTGGAAATGCTGGTCGGTTCCCTAGTCCCTGGGTGCTGAGCGTTCACTTGGATATGCACTAATCGAAATAAGCTCGCCCCAGCCTCCGTACTCTAGACACCTTGGACTGTGAGAGATGGCTGATGGGACCAGGCCAAAGAACTTGGGAGAGGTTTTGCAGGGATACTCGGGGCCAAACCCGTGATTTAAGAGAGATCAAGACTGAGGAACTGATTCCTATTAGGAAAGGAAAAACGGGAAAAGGAGACGGGAAATTCTCAGTCAAGTATAGTGTGTCCTACCTCAGGAGAAACACTGGGAAGATTACCCTAAGTGTAATTTTTTACACTTTCTCTGACCCAGAGAATGTGCCTTGCCAGCTCACTGTCCCAAAGGATGTAGAACTTCTTGTAACAGCTCAAATATGCCCATTACTGCAGCCTGGAGAACGACCTACCATCCTCCCAGGCGTGAGGAATTGTGCACGGTGATTTATGTCCAGGTCTGAATTCGGCTAAGTTAGTGTGTATATGGAGGGGGAAAGAGAAAGGAGGTTGTGTAGATCTAGGTATGTATCTATGTGGATGTGTGTGTGTGTGTGTGTGTGTGTGTGTGTGCGTTTTGTGCATGTGGTTTTATGCCTGGGTGGGGGGGAGAAAGCTGTTTCTTGGTGAGCATTGGCTGTGTTAAGAGTGATTTGGAAGTAACATATTTTAAAGGAAGGTTTCGTGCATTAATAGTTGTCGTGTCCATAAGTATAAGTTTGTATTCGAGGAGCATTATGTATGGAGATCTGAGTGAGGGTTCTATATATGTCTGTGTTTGGGGAACGGTTTCGAGTTTTTGTGCATGACTAGTGGATGGTGATGAGAGGAGAACAGAAACTGGTCCCGACTTCTTGAGGCTTGTCTAGACAGGATAAAATCCAGTCTAGAAAAAGACTCGAACTTCGGGGTCCTCTAACCTCTCCGACCCTAAAACCCTCTGCTAGGACAAAGTGGGAGCACTTACCCTGGAGTATACACTCTTGGGGATGGGGCAAAGAAATACATTAATCTCCTACTTCTGGGTTAATGGAGGACAAGTTTGAGAGTTAACAAAGGAGGCGCCAGAATCCGGGAGAGCGAAGCTGGGTAGCTAGGGATGGGGTAACTGAGATACAGGGGGAGGAAGGAAAGGACTGCTTTTCTTTGCTGTGAGACAGAAAACGCTTGCGGCGAACCACAGAGAAGACTAGAAGAGCACATAGCTGCCCCAACCAGCCCAAGGGAAAGAGCAGAAAGAAGCCCCAGGGCATATGGGCCTTCAAAGAGTAGACTGTCTGGCATCAAAGCGTGCTTGTTACTCCGCAGTGTCTCACTCGAATCAGTCTACACTCCCACCTCGGGGACAACAGGCGGAATCACAGGATTGCTCCCGAGAACTCCCAAAAAGAGGTCTAAAAAACCCAACAGCAAAGAGGTAGAAAATAGCGCAGAGACCAATCCCTTCCCCATTTCCTACCTCCTAGTGAACCTCCGAATTAGAAGAATAGTGTCTGTGGTGGTGGGGGGGTGGAAATAAAGCACTAGGAGGACAGAGAAACCTCCGGGCGCGATTGAATAGGGGACTCTTTTCGAGGTGACAAAACGCTGTCTTTCAGATAGGTCAGGTAGCAAAGTTTGATTCAGCTACCCTGAGATCCCCGGTCCCAAGCATATTCCCGGGAGTCAAAATTACTGCTCAGTCTGCTCCCTGCCCAACCATAGCCCGGAGGGATCCCCAATTCTGGTCTTGGAAGAGGGAAGGGGAATTGGATTCAGGTGGATTAAGTTTGCCCAGTTCCTAAATTTGTGTGTGAGGTGGCAAAGGGTAGGCTGCAGAGGATTGTCTGTAATAACTGCTAATATCCCATCAAAAGCTTCCCACCGAGCAGTGAAAAACAAAATATAGCAGGAGCCTGGTTGGATTTCACCAAAAGTGGGTAGTGTCCATGGACTTCATTTTCTGCTCTTTGTACTCCCCCAAGCAGCTCCAGTGGGAACTGGAGATGGTCCAGGGTCGTGTTGGACATGCCCATGACAAAATTGAGGGGGTCAGGCAGAGACCTTTCTCCCTGCCTTTGGCCTAGATTGTCCCAAAGGGAGAAGGATAGGCCTGCGTTCAATCTCAGGCCTAAACTACCAGTACACACACACACACACACACACACACACACACACACACACATTTTGCTGGCTAGAAAATGGAAACTCAGAAAAAGTCACAGAGAGGGAATAGGGACTGAATAAGGTACAGACTTCTTTTCTCACTTCCTTTTGAGCTCTCTGCCTCTTATTCCTCTCCCACTTTCTCTACATTTTCACTCAATTATTAGGGTTAAAGATTTAGAGATAAAAGAGACTTTAGAGTCCACCAGTTCAGCCCCCTGGACTGAGGTCCATAGACAGAAGGTGGCTTGTCCAAGATCATATGGGTAGTAAGTAACAGAACAACGATTCAAACCCAGGTCCTCTGACTCCAAATTCAGGTCTTTCAAGTATACCTTTTTACTCCTGCTTTTCAACTGCATGGCTGAGGACTTTATACAAATAAGCAAAATGATTTTTTTTTGTCTTTTAATGTCTCCTTGGTTTCCCTAGTTACCAACTAAGTAAAGTACGAAGTGGTGTGTATATGTGTGAGTGAATGTGAGTATGAGCACAGCACATAATAAGCATTTAATAAATGATCATTGACTTGACTGGTTGAGGGTGAGGGTGTGTGTTTGTGCACAGCCATGGAAGTTAATGTGTGAATAAATGTGTTGGGTGTTTGAGGAGTTTAAGCATGAATGTGTGTAAAAGTGTGAGTATGTGGGAGTGGAAGTATGTGTGGATATTCCTGTTTGTGTGAGTGATAGGGCAAATGTGCAAGTTCTCCCAAGAGTGCTTGAGTTTGCTGGGGCTGGGTTCCTGCTTGAGTCTCTTTAATTCCTTCTCCACACTTCCCTTTATTTCCCTATCCTAGAAGATCACATTCTCTTTCCCCCATCCCCACCCCCCACTTCATCGACCTCTTTCTAGATCCTCACATTTAAAAATAAATTAAACCTAAATTGAGGGGAATTCCCTTTCATTTTGGACCTCTTTCTGAGCTTAGGCTCGACACCAGGAGTGGCAAACATGACGGACGCATGAAAAATGCTAGTCAATGGGGAGAGAGATAAAGGACCAAGTGGTGAATAGCCAAATTCTCCGATTAATTTGTGTGCAAACATGCATGCCTCAACAGAACGATATTTCGGGTCTGCTTACACAATTACAAGTACACACTTAACACAGGAGAGACGCTGAAAAGGCGCTCTTGGCCCTCTCAACCTGAGTCTTTGCCGTCACATCCCTTCTGGATGGGGGAAATTCTCATTCAGCTCTCTGGAGGCTAGTCTTTCAGGCCAGGTCACCCCTGGAGAGACAGCGTAGGGAAAAGGAATTGGGCCACCTACCGCAAGGTTCCGGATCCGGACGATTTTATTCATATTTTCCACATAAATTACACAAGCACTTTATAAAATGGTTACAGGGAAAACACCTTATAAGTGCATAACTTAACCCCCCCCAAAGATGGATGCAAAGCTAGCCTCCCCAAACAGGCTCCATGTGTGACTGTCCTTTACAATCTGTATGCAACTGTTGATTGCTCGAGATTGCGCGGACACTGTGCTCGAGGGACACTGTGTGGGACTGTATTTGTTGGGGGGATGTGTAGAATTGTGCTTGCCTGTTACTGATTGTTCGGAATTGTATGAGTGCGAGAGATGGGAGCAAACAGGAATTGTGGGCATTGCTGAGTGTCACTGGGATCTGCGTAAAGCTGTGGGACCGCTGCCATTTCGATCGTTGTGTGCTGCTGTCAGTGATACTGTGGGCACCCAAGTGCATTATGAAACTTCGTGGCTGTGGGTGACTACGCAGCTGCTGTGTGTGGCGTGGTTGTCCACGAGTGACTGTGAAAGTGTTTCTGGGTTTCAGTAGGGCTGAATCGACAGGGGATCAACCGGCTCCTTGGGGGACCTTCAGAACGCTCTCGATCCTAGAAGCTCTAATTTTCCTCTCTCCCCCTCCACTTCCTCGGCCTCCCTCTAGATTCCCAAATTTTAAAATAAAATAAAATAAACGGAAATTGAGCAGAATCTGAAAAGTACCAGCTGAACCGAGGGTCAGGGAGGGTAAGCTGCCAGGGACTAGAGGCTCCAGTTAGGTCCCCAGGTCCCTTCTGATCGAAGTCCCTATTCTATTTCCAATTTCTTCTTTTCCACTGAAAATAAAGCCGGGGATTGGGGTGGGGTTGCTCACCCGGACTGGACGATAATGGTACCGGACCTCGGAGAGCAGAGGCAGGTAGCTGGCTGGCTTTCTACGAGTTTCACTTTGTGTCCGGTTACTGAGGTGGAGAGGGGCAGGGAGAACTGGCTCGTGGTCCGTGAAAGGGGCTGGGGCAGGGGGAAGGGTCCTCACTCTTTCCTCTGTGCAAAGCCCTCGGTAACCTCCCCTACCCCTTTCCAGGCAGAGCTCCCGACTTCGGGCCGTCTCGCGAGGCTGAATGCGGGGTGCAATGCGAGTACTCGGGGTGGGGAGGTCGCTCCTCTCGCTCGCAACCCCAAAGTCTGGGCTCCCACTTCTCTGGCGGGGGTCCTGAAAGGGCTAAGGATCTGAGAGACGGGGGAGGGGACAGCGAAACCGAGCGGGGTGGGCCCCGGCAGGAGGGGGGGTCACTCGCAGGCTGAGGCCACTGACGTGACGCTGGTGATCTTAGCAGTGTCGTCGGACCAGGGCTGCAGGTTCTGCAGGGCGAAGAGTGATGAATTGTGTACGCAGAGAGGGTCAGCCTGTAGCGGCTGAGCCAAGCTCTTCTGGAAGGCCTCCTGCTGCAGCTGCATAAGGATGCGGTTAGCCTGCTGCCTCTCCGCCTCCCGCTCCTCCGCGGTCTGCCGCCTGTACGGGGACAAGCCGCCTCAGAGCCAGCCACTGCCCGCGACCCAGGGTGGCCTCGTCCCCCTTGGCCCTGGGCTCCCCAGTACCTTGAGGCAGAGAAACTGCTGCTTCCAAGAACACCAATTTCCTGGCTCTAGAAAAGGGATACCAGGGGAACACTCCCTACAGTCCCAAGGGTGTCTCAGTCCCCCGCCCCACCCCGCCACTGAGGTACTAAGAAGGAAGACTGGGGAACTTGGAGGAAAAATAACCTCTTTGTTATTCCTAGCTCCTTTCTAGCCCCAGCGTCAGGCCAAACACCAGCCTAAGTGCGGGGTCTCGGGCTATTTCTGGAAAATTCCTCTGAAATTATGTGCGTGTATATTTCTCTGTGTTGAAGGATGCGGTGAGTTGACGCGCGGAAAAGAAGCTCGGTCCCTCAGTTAGTGGCCCCTAACCACCTTCTTCTCAGACTAGGCAGTCTAGGAATGAAACTAGCAATCACCTTAATGGCCTCTGCAATCTAATTCCCTGCCTGCCCTGGCTACATAGAAGAAGATCTGGAGAGAGCCTGGTCCTCTTATTAGCCGAGACGGGGAGCTTTCTCGAAAACCCACCTAGCAAATATCCTCTGACTCCTTTCCCGCATTGCTCGGAAGCTCCTGGGGACAAGGACAGAGCGGACAGGTGGCCCGGCAAAGCCTCAGAGACATAGACGAATTTTGCTCGATTGGGGGCGAAGCGGAGTAAGTGTCTCAGAGAGGCAGAGACTTAGAAACAACAGACTTCCAATGAGTAGCCTAGAGTTGCAAACTAGCTTTCTTCCTTTTACCCCCATCCCCCAACTTCCCGCTTCCAGAGCAAGTCTAGCGCTGGAGAAAAGGGATTGGGTCCCAATCGCTTGAGCTCTCAACCCTGGGTCCCAGAGTTCCTTGACTCCTTGAGCCGAGACCGTTCCTCCCTCTCCTTAGCCCTGTGCCGAGCTCCCAGTAAGGCCCGTCCGGTTTCCACGAAGCCGGTAAGAGGAGGCGATGAGTCACATATTCCATCTAATGCAACCTCCCTCCACCCCTCACCCCTCCTGTAAACTGAGATCAAACGTCTGTCTCTAAGGTGAAAGGATCTAATGTGAGTCCCCGGAGCCTCCAGGAGCAATTTGTAGCAGATCGATTTAAAGAAAGCAAACGAGGATCCCTCTTGGTCTGCTTTCTTCTTCCTATCTTTTTCTAATTTCTTTCTCTCCTCTCTTCCTTTCTCTTCCTTCCTTTCTTCCTTTCTCTTCCCCCCCCCCCCGCTCTGTATTTCAATCTGTCTAGGTTTCTTTTTTCCTTGATTTTTCTTCTTTCCCTCATTTCCTGTGTCTCTGGGATTTTTTTTTCTTCCCAAGAATTAAGTGTTTTCGTTCCAAACGGAAAAAAAAAGTTTGGTATCTTTGTTTTTCTTCATTAGAAATAAGCTCAGCTTAATTCTCCGGTTTTTTTTTTTCCTTCCTGGGGATCTGTTTCTCTTTCTCCCTGTCTCTCGTGTCTCCCTGTCTAAATATTCATATCTTTCACTGTCTCTGTCTCTTCCCTTACCCCTTTTTTTCCCAAATCCTCAGCTGGGCTTTTGTAAGCCCCAGCATTCGGGCTGGTTTGTCATTCTCACCTCCCCCCCTTCCCAGAAAATGCCTTCCTTGTTCCCTCCTTAATGACTCCTGGAAGCCTCCTCCCCCAACTCCTACTGCCTGGAATGCACGACTGCGGAAAAGTCGACCCCACGGGGGCTGCGTGTCTTCTTTGTGGACACGACAGCAGAATCCCAGGCAGATTCAGCTTCTTCATTCAGAAAAAGAGGAAACTGCAATTCCTTCCTCTGCCCAGCCAGCCCGACCGGGCTCGGCGCCTCCCTCTGACTCCATTCACATTAGCTGCCGCTCCCCAGGGGCTCTGAAAGAACGGGCGTGAGAACGTGTGTGTGTTAGTGAGTGTAGTGTGGTGTAATGCAGTGTAGTCCAGTGTCTTTAGATTTGTGTGAGTAGAAGTGGGGGTTGGGGGTGGAGAGGCCAGACAGACAGTGAGACAGAAGAGAGACAAAGACATAGAGACAGAGACAAGAGGACAGATTTTGTCATTCTGTGAGGGATCCAGTTTGTGAGAGAAACTGAGCAAGTCTGTACCGGTGTGTGAGGAAGAGTGTGCTAGGGTTGTGGATGGACAGACTTTGTGAGTCCTCGAGAGTTGAAAGTGTGCGTGTGTGACAGAAGGAGACAGAATAAATGTCTCCCCAGCTCCCTCGATAGCGTCTCCCGTTCTCTCTTAGACACATCCATCTGTTCTTAATTGATCATTCTCAACCTCGATTCTGACTGATTGATTTTCCATCTCTAGGGTAGGGCAGCAGAATTGGTCATTGCCTCAGGCGGGCTAGGGCTTCTTGAGGAAAATGTTCTCTGGTAGCCAAGCCATCGAAAGAAGCTTTCTCCTTCTAACCTGCTCCCCACCACAGGCAGAGATTGTTACTGAGATTGGGTTGTTTGGAGGGAGTTTTAGATGATGGGCCTTGGTTGGGTCAGGTAGCTCAGGAGAAGGGAATTCCTGTAGCTGCTACCCGGGAGGGTCTGGAACACTTTCACCAGAGCCCAACTCCACTATGGAACTATGGGTACAGAGCACCCCGGGAAAACTTACTGTTTTCTTCTTTCTGACCTTCATTCCCATATCAAACTAATATCCCACTTAGGCTATCTGCTCAGTCTCTCCGTAGTAACCAGAACCTCCACCCGAAGCCTGGCTACTCTTTGAAGCTCCTGAAAGACTCCAGGATGACCGAGGTTGCCTAGGTTCCTACCTGAGGGACCTGGTTGCAGAAGCAGTAGAAGAAAGTGGCAGAGTCTTACTTTCCCATCCCAATCCCGGAATCCCCAGGCCATCTACTTCACTCACACTTCCACCCAGCCCCGGGCCCTGGGGAGAGAAGGCTACGGCGGAGTCAAATTGCCACGTGTTAGGTGGATTGATTCTGAGATATTTGCTATCCACAGTCAGATTGGGCTTCCCAAAGAAGCTTCCTCAGAGACATTCAAACTCCACCTCACTATCCTCCCAAAAAGACACACACACACACACACACACTTCGGTATACTGAACAGGCCCATACGTGATCATGTTTGGTTCAAAAGTGGACATCATAGTGGACGTATACGTCATCCAAATGACCTAACACGATTTTCCGAATTCAGGGATACGGAGATTTGCGGTAATAGGGAAGAGACCAATCATTTGCCTACACAGGATCTTGTCCAGATCAACACAAAGCGGGTCATTCCTGGCTACGGGAGGTGAGTCAGGATAGTCAGGCCTTGAGCTCCCAGTTTGGTCTGAAATGACTTCCCTGAGCCTCACCACGGCGCACGTACGGCCTTCGCATCTCGGGGTTGGGAGTTGAAGGGAGAAAGAGTGTAATGAAACAGTCAGACAGCTTAAGAGAACCAGCTTTAGCCAACCAGGACGTTCACCCTCCCTTGTGGAGTTCCCGGTTTCCTGCAGACTCACCTCCATTTCGTTCTCCGATTCTGGAACCAGGTTTTGACCTGCGCGTCGGTCATTTTGAGCGCCTTGGCCAGGGCCGCGCGCTCGGCCGACGCCAGGTACTTTTGGCGATGAAAGCGCTTCTCCAGCTCGCAGATCTGAAGACGTGTGAAGGATGTGCGCGGTTTCTTCTTCTTCGGGGGCGTCCGGTTCTGGTAGGGGTGACCTATACGGCGTGTTACAGTGAAGGGTGAGAGGGCCACTGGAGCGGGAGACAGACAGACGGCAGAAGCAAGCGGCACAGCGTCAGGAGGCGTCCACGGCAAAGGCACACACCACAGTCGAGCCCTAGTGACCCGGAGCTGAGGAGCGAGCAGGCCCGGAAAACACGGAGCAGTGGGAAGCTAAGCTCAGACCTGGCAACAAAGCTTCCTGTCTGGGATTGTCTCAGATATGCCTGGAAACTCTTCCTCAATTCCCCTTGCCACCACTGACTTTAGCCCTAGCCTCCCATCCCTTTCTACAGGTATCTAAGCCCCTGGTCTGTGTCAGTTTTCTCTCTCAATGGGGGTGGGGGGTGGGGGAGGTGAGATGGGGGTGGGGAAGCTGAAGCAGTCCCATCACTCTGGTATCCTGAGCTGAACATTCGAGTAGGGTAAGTCCCCCTAGCAAACGCCAGTATTTGGTGCTGAGGGGGGCCTGTGGTCAAACAGCACAAAGATTCTAGAGGTTCAGATACAGTTGGCACACAGAAGCATATTCTCACACAACATACTTACACATATAATCACATCATCACACACAGATACAAATATGTGTGTCAATTTAAACACACACTACACACAAACCTGCAAGCTACATATAATTCTCACACAAGTACACAATTAATTCTCACAACATACTTAAACACATGCTCACATACACACTCTTACTCCATATACTCATTCACCTAGACTCTCATAATTCTCTGAGAACAAAATCCTTTAAAGGGGGGTTCCTAGGGAGGTTGGCAGGTAGCGAGTAATGCCTACCTGGGCCTGGTTGGGTATGCTTAGGCCTTAGGGCCCTACTGGAGAGGGAAGTCTGGTGTAGTAGGGCTCAACCTCACAAGGTTCTGGAGAAGGGAAAGGAGGAAGCACAGCTCTGATCCTGGGAGGCCGAAACCCACCTGGGCCCTTTTCTTGGAGATCTAGAGCCTTTCCCCGAAGGCCTTGCTCATGTAAATTCCAGGTTGGCTGGGCTCAGTCCTAGCCTCCATGCCCTCTCCAGAGTCAGGGGCATTGTGTCACTATGCCTTCTCAGAACTCTGAGAATTTCCAGAGATCTCCTTGCAACTTTTAGTAGATCTGCAGGAGCAGTAAACGGGGAACTCAGAGCCCCAAGATGAACTTCTAGCTCTCTAGGAAGAGTGAGAAAGTGAGTCTACCTGATGGAGCTCCTGGTTCTAGGGGTGAGGGGCAACCACTCTTTGGAACTGAGGAGCAGCCACTTCCCCTTCTCCTATGTTATTTGGGGATCAGAGCCCTTCATTTCCTAGAATTACCTGGGGGCACCTCTGCCTGAGAGGCTAATCCTTGGATCCCCAGCTCCTGCTCCCGCCTGGCCCCAACCCTGTTTTGGAACCTTCATTGCAAGCGGGGACTGGTTTCCTCCCCCTCCAAGGCCCCGCAGCATCCGGGCTCTGGCTCTGAATTCAGGTTGGAAAGTGAACCGGGGGCTATGTGTGCATGTGCGTGCTCAAGAGTGTGTGTGTTGGGGGAAGGTTAGGCCAGGGGCCCTAGGGAGGGGAGCAGCCCTGGAAAGTGGGGGTGGGGGAAGATATAAGAGGAGAGAAGAGAGGAAAGGAGGAGAAAGAAATGAGCCTGTGTAATCGTCCCCGGAGTCGCACTCAGGGCTGCTGGATCGATGGCCCGGTCAGGGTCGGTGCATTATTCATTGAGCAGGGGGTCGGGGAGGAGCGGAGGCAAGCCCGGGCTGAGACCAAAAATAAAACAAGGCCAAAGAGTGGGGGTGGAGGTGGCTTATACCCAAGCAGACAGAATCCGAGCCTTGTCTGCCCCTCCCCCAGGTTTTCGGCCAGGGGACTTCCCAGAGGTGGTTGCCCCCACCCCACACGCCTCAAGTCTGGGTGGGCTCTGCTCTGAGGCCGCGTGGGAGTAAGCTCCGAGCTCCGCTCACCTGGGGTTCGTTTCAATTCGTTGTTTTGTTCTAAGGTTAATGCAAAGGTCTACATTTGCCCACCTTCTGCCCTGAGAGAACAGGAGGGGGTGGGAGAACAAACCTACTGAGTACAAAGTGCCCCCTTTCCAGCGCCCCCCCCACCTCGTCCCCTACCCAGCCCCTGGATTCTACTTTCTCTTTCTCTGACCAGGGAAAATGATCCCGCAAATCTAGATCCTCATGCTCCCCGCTTCTCGATCCCCTGGCTGGGGCCGAGCCAACCAGGAACCAGAGGAGAAGAAGCAAAGCAGGACCTGGGCTAGGGGGTGCAGAGGTCGAAGAGAGGAAGTGGGATATCTGCTGGGGAAGCGGCCGGCTGGGCTGGGCCGAGGCTGGGAGCAAAGAAAGCGGAAAGGGAATCACGGGCTGGGATGGGGGAGAGAAGTTGACCCGGGATGAATCAGGAGGCACAAAAGAGCAGGAACCCGAACAGAGGGTGGGGGACAGAGGCGGAGACGGACACGAGTCAGGGCTCACCTGTGAACCTGTCCTTTGTGTATCGCCGGTTACTCTCCATCCAGGGGAAAGTGAGTCCCGTGAGGTTGTTGACACTGGGTACGGCGGGTACGGTGGGCATGCCGGTGGCGAGGGGCTGGTGGTGAGGAACGGCTCCGGCCAGAGGCCTGTGGGCAGGCACCCGAATCACCCCGGCGGAGCTGAGAGCGCCACCGCTCCCGCCGCCCCCGGTGCCCATGGCCATGTTCATATTGTAGGAGCCGGCCAGCGAGGCCATACTGCAGGCACTGCCGCCGCCGCCGCCTCCGTAGCCCCCCGCGCCGCCGCCGCCGCCGCCTGCTCCAGCTCCCGCCCCAGGCCCGGGGCCGGGGCCAGCCCCGCCGCCACCGCT